CATTCATCAACACCTGTCTCAGAAAGATTCTACTCATTTGCTGGCCCGATAAGATCAGTAACGCCAACCTATGGGGGAGGACCTGTCAACCCCCAGTAGAAGCAGAAATCTGGAAGAGAAAATGGGGTTAGATAAGGCACACCCAGGGCTTAATTTGTAAATTGCGAGGTCCTGGAACAGATCGGGGTAACGGATCTGGCATCTTGTGCGTATGAGGAGGGGAATCGGTAAAATTAGGCACCGGCTCTTATTTCAAAGATGCCGGATCCAGATCCTGCTTGTTCTGGCACAAATGAAGTCCCGGGCACAACCTATGCAAACCACCATCTAGCATCACTAGGCTCTCATATGGAATGCCCAAGGGAAGCAGAAGAGAAGCCATCCAAGAAACACCTGATGAAGTGACCAAGAGGTAGACATCTCATGGATGGGTTTCACCTGGAGAAAAGTAGAAAGAATGGCCCAGGACAGATACCTCAGGAGATCGACCTTTGGTGACCCATTCCCCAGAAGCAGTGGAGGGCATAAGTAAGTAATTCACCTATAGCGCATGTCTTCAGACTGTGGGGGAAACAAGAGCAGCCAGAAGAAACCCATGCAAACACATGGAGAACATGCAAACTCCACACAGAAATGCCTACTGGCCCAGCCGGGACTTGAACTAGTGACCTTCTTGCTGTGATGCCACTAAGTCACTGTGCTGCCTTATGTAATTCTTCTCTGAGGATTTGCAGATTAACTTCAATCATGGAGACTCATTAAAAGCAGCCATCTCTCTGTAAAATTGAGCAGTTTTGACTTAAATTTTTAATGAAAGTTTATTGAATTTAATAAAAACAAGTTACGTGAACTCAAAATTTTATTGTACTAGACTGAATTTAAAATGAATGAGGTAACCTAACCATGCAGATTTTTAGTTCCTGCACTCTTTGTCTTAGACAGAAAAATAAATGTCAAAAAGTAAGTGCTGTGTATTTTTTGAACATGATTACCATAGGGAGACATGATTTAGAGTTCAATGCTGTGTTGATATACAGAGGTGTCTGTAAAAATAAATGTACAAAACTCTTAATAAATCAGATTACAGATCCAGTTAATTCCGCAAAACTGAAATGTTTAATTAAACGTCACTCAATAAGTAAGAAATATTTTATTATATTAGTAAGAAATAAATCTTTAATAAAATACAGGTTAAAATTAGGGGCTGCACGGTGGCGCAGAGGGTAGAACATTCGCCTCACACCAAGAAGGTCACTGGTTTAAACCTCGGCTGGGTCAGTTGGTGTTTCTGTGTGGAGTTTGCATGTTCTCCTCGTGTTTGTGTGGTTACCCACAGTCCAAAAACTTGCGTTATAGGTGATTTGTGTGATATGTGTGTGATTGAGTGTGTGTGTTGGTGTTTCCCAGTGATGGGTTGCAGCTAGAGGGGCATCCACTGCATAAAACATATGCTAGATAAGTTGGTGGTTCATTCCGCTGTGGCGACCTCTGATTATTAAGGGACTAAGCTAAAAAAAGGAACGAAGTCAAAGTTAAAAGTTTCATTTGTGTGAGAATCTTGCTCATTTAATGGCATATTTGTGACACTGATAAAACAACAGCTTAATTATTTTATGTAAAAAGCCAATGTTATTTGATTAACACCGACTTAAAATACTTGATTTTATGCTTAAATCTGAGCGTAATCTGCCAGTGTGTTTAATTAGATGAGAGATGAGTTTAAACTGAGACTTAAATCTCATTAAGCCTTAGTTTGCGAGACTTCAAAAAAGCAGCGGTTATCTTTCCTGAGCATCTGTACATCTTATCTTGAGAACGCAGTCAACTTCTCCGGCAGATCTGTACAAATCCTCTCTACTTTGGCTAAACAAAAACCTTCTCTGGGCAACATTATCTCACAGATACTAGCAACCGGGGGGATCTCAAGTCTGCTATCATGAAACAAAAGCACATCAGACACTCAGAGAGCACATATTTCTCTCTTGTTATGGCCCCTTTTCTTCTTATTGAACAGATTTATATTAAATCCCTAAAGGAGAGCAGCAAAAACAACACAATGAGCAAATTCACACATTATTATCAACATTAAAGTCAGAGAAAAAGTTTAAGGATGATTAGAGCTTACCGAAAACTTGTCTCCCTGTAAAGTGACTATTCTACAAACATACTAACTATTTATTATGACACACTGTAAAAAAAATAATAATAAAAATAAAATTAAAAAAATGTGTAATATGTATAGTGCATAAACAGCAGTTTGTTTACCAGAATTTTACCATTAGCAATACGGTTAAAACCCTAAAATAATATTTTCAATTATGGTAAACTACTGTATTTCATGAATTTCCAATAAAGTCAAATGTTTTAAGTACAAATATCGACACATTAAACAATTGTTACAGACAGAAACACAAAAATAAGCAAGTGGACAACAGAAAGTTTTGATTGTTAGAGAAACACTAATATAGAGAAGGTGCTCTGTGTCATTCACACAAATACTAAAGACCATTTTGTTAACATCCATGACACTAAAGTAATGCACTTAATATTATTTATCAAAATTAGATGTAACAAAAAACTCTAATGTACATAATCAAAGACAAAACAACTAAAAAGAGCCCTAATGTCAGTTTAAGGGTTATTCATCATATTATTAACCCTCATGTACTGTTGGGGATGTTTTCATGCACTCTGGGGTGATTTTGATTCTTAATTTGGCCATAACTATTTCTGTTTTTCAGTTAGCAGATTGATTTTTGCTGACAAGTCTTATTTTAGTACCTATTTTAAGAAATACTTTTAATTTTTGTTTTAAAACTCAACAACTATCTGGGTAAATTTACTATCCTTTTGTTATGTCCACTTAATCAAATTGCTGTAAAAATGCATATGATATATATCCTTTTTGTTTTGTATAAATCTGTTAATCAACCTCAAAATTAATAAATTGTTAGAAAATTACAGGATTTTAACTTTCTAACTGCCAAACTCATAAATAAAGTCTTGGACATGTGAAAGATTAGTAACAACATTGCCCTTGATGCATTGTTTTTAATTAACTTAAAACTTTTCTCCCCGTTTTACTGTTGGTGGTTGTTTTTGCCCCATTCACTTCCATTATAACCACATTTTTTTAATACAAAACCATGACAGCATATAATCATGCATTTTTGATTGTTGGTGTTTTTCACTGTTGGGAAGAGGTCAAATCATTTTTACTGTTGAACATCAGTTGGTACTATTAACCCTTTAGATAGGCCTGTGCATAAAGGCTTAGTTTCTTCATTTTACATGGAGTATAATGGCTAATTAAAGTGTGTGTATGTGAGTGTGTGTGTGACCTTTGCCTATTTACCTTGATGAGTCAGAGAAAGTCAAAATATCCATCTCAGCTCTCAGAATTAAATAAAAACAAAGCCTGTGTATTTATGCACCATCTAATGTGGTTATAATGGAAAGCAAAAACAGCCACCAACAGTAAATTAGGGAGAAAGAAAAATCTAACAGTGCATCAAGCCAATGTTGTTCCTAATCGTTCACATGTCCAAGACTGTGATAAAAGGTAAATGCAGTCCACAATTAATTTTTATATTGAGAATACATCATTCTGTGTGTTTTTTCCCCACCAAATCATGGTCATCGTTTATGAATTTGGCAATTAAAAAGTTAAAATCCTGTAATTTTCTAACAATTTAGTAGTTTTGATCAGGACTGAGGTTGATTAACAGATTTATTTAAAAAAATGGAAAAGAATATTTATCTGATGCATTTTTACAGCAGTTTAATTCAGTTAATGTTTTCATCCCAAACATAACAATTTATACATTTGAACATTAAACAAGGGTTTTACTTTTTTTACCATTGGAATCACTGCCATTTTTTGTATAGCACATGATTATTGGAACGTCCATATAATCATAAACGTCACCAGGGAAAACAAAATATGTGATGAGCTCTTGAAGAAATTCATCTAGCCGAACATGTTATACTCTTGGTTATTGCTTAAGCTATTTTAATCATATTCACAAGTGAACGTTGGCTTTCTCCTTTGGGATATTTTTCATCATTAAATGCTCGGATGCTCATGAAATAAATATGACAGAATCTGGAGTCATCTCCGGACAGAAAAAGCTCAATCACCACAAAAAATAAATAAATATTAAACATTCATGTATCAAACCAAATAGAGGACTTAATCTGAAGCGAAAGCTGAAATACATTTGAAATGAAAATATATTCTGTGTGTATCACTGAGCATTTCATTTATCATCATCATCATCATTCGGCGTAACATACATTTGTACAAAAAAATGAGACAACATAACAGTTCTGAGCTATAAAAAATAAGAGATCATATTAATTTTTATTACTGACAAATGTATGAAACCTGGTGGTTTGAAGAATGGTGGCAGAGATGTAAAATGATGATTTATTAATAACTTAGGGCTGCACTGTGATCCATAATATGCCATCAAATGATTATTGTAGGGCGTCATGGTGGCACAGTGGGTAGCACAATCGCCTCACAACAAGCTACATCAGTTAGCATTTCTGTGTGGAGTTTGCATCTTCCCATTGTGTTCGCATTGGTTTCCCCCACAAGACATGCGGTATGAATTGGGTAGACTAAATTGTCCATAGTGTATGTGTGTAAATGCAAGAGTGTATGGGTGTTTCCCGGTATATGCTGGATAAGTTGGTGGTTCATTCCACTGTGGGGTCTCCAGATTGATAAAGGGATGAAGTTGGGAAAAAAAAAGAACATTTACTGAATATAACTAACAGGACTTTTTTGTGGCTGATATAAACTATTGTTGTCTTAAAAGTTGTAAATTTCTTTAGGTTAATTGTTTTTTAATAAGATTAAAATAAATCTGGACACATTAAAATACACAAAAGTCTTGCATTACACTTATTGTGTTGATGCATGAAACCCTTAAATTATTAATGGACCCATGTACACACTGAGGCAATGAAAGCTGAATAACAAAAAAAAAGTCTTAAGAAAAAATACTCAGGTTTATTGAAATAATGTGCCAAGGGAATACATAGTTCTCAAATAAAGTGAGATAGGCTTTTATAAACGGTTCCCTTGTATGTGAATACAACAAAGTGAGGGAATGATCGTGTCCTTGTCACTGAAAACAAGCTTGTTCAAACTTGTTCAATTTATAAAAGTGCTCCTGTCAGAAAACTCTGATGAAACTGCACCACAGCCGCTGTGCTGGAGGTGATTTAAATAACACCCATATCCTCCATCAAGACCAGAGAAACCTCCCTCTTTGATTCATCAGTTACAGTTGTAATCATCCCCAGGCTCTTCAGCGCAGTTTAAATGATTCTCCAGCTCCTGAATGACAGCTTCCCTTCCCATTTGGTCGTTTTTCCTCTTTTCCACGATCAGATCCTCTAAACTTTGAAAGTCCAAAACGTGACTTTTCTTCTCGGAGAGCTGCAGTTTCATCTTGTACGGCTGTTTACCGATGCGTATTTCGCCTCCGACTTTAAACTCGCGTTTTCCAAACCTGCACCAAGCGGCGAAGCACTCCGAGTTCTTCCAGCAAACGTCCCGCTCCTTCAAGCCCACCTGCTCCATGGCATTCTGGACCACCGCGTCCGAGCTCAGCGCGCGAAACTTATACAGCTCGTTCACGATTCTGCCCCTTTTACCTTGACTCGCGTCCAAAAGAAAGTCGCATTTGATCTCGTTTCTGTGCAAATGAACCACCTGTAGCTCGCCGACACACACCGCCCAGTGCGGGAACTGACCGATGGCCACGAACTCCACCAGGTCGCCGGCTTTGCACTTGTTCGCCAAGTTCTCGCGCGACAGCGTGCCCACTTCACCAAACCGACTATTCCGCTCGTATATGACCTCGTCGCGATAATACACGGCGCACTCCAGCTCGTTCCGGCAGTCGTAATGTTTGACATCTTCATTCTCCGTCTCGTCCATGTTCTCCTCCTGCTCGTCGTCATCGGCGGAGAAAATATAAGAGACGCCGATCCGCGGAGCGTCGTCCTCTGGGTCAAATCCATTAGGGTCAGCTGTCGGTAATTCATTGTAATTCAAGTGTGTGAGCTTCTCCACTTGATTCCCCATAACAGCGTCCGACACTCGTTCCGCGTCCCACCTGTACAGGTCGAGGAGATTTCAAAAACGCAACACGTAATCCGGCTTTGGAGCCCAGTTCAGGTCAAAGTCCATGTTTTCTGAATGTCCGCGAGGAGTATTTATGTAGCATATCGTACATTTGTCGAAATTGTTTGCCGGAGTTTAGATTATGTTGAGTTTCGGTCTGCGTTTTGAACAGGTGCGTCTCACCTGCTCACTTCCTGGTGCGAGCCGGGGACGGGGGAAGCCCATCCGACACTACAGCTGAAGTCCGACGGCGAGCGTCTCTTGTTGAGAAATGAGGGGGTTTGAAGAGTTATTTCCTCTGTTTGTGCGTGATGGACGGCGTCCGACACTCTTTGAAGTTCTGGCTGAGGCAGTAGCAGAGCTCTGTGTGAAATAGTAGCGGGCACGGGGATGTTTACACAAGGCACGGGCAGTTAAAGAGACAGCGCACATTTATGACTGCCAGATGATACATGGTCATTAAACTGAAAAATTAAACTCTGAGAGGCTAACGTTTAAATTATAGAGCATGAATTGTGACTACTTTTTTGATAAAATTATAAACATAGGACTTAAACTTATACAGTATTTATTTGTGTAAAGAGGTCAAATACTATAGCTGAGGAGACCTATCAAACAGTTTTATTGACTTGGCGTATCACGTGATATTTGAACTTTAAACTCATATGTTGACATTTTCAGGCAAGACATTATATTTAAAATGAGTGCAGATTAGCCTAGTTATTTATTACTTGGTTATACATTTGAACAATAAATATTGGGATGGCTCACAAAAGGTTAAAGAAAAACATTTCTGAAAAGGACTTGGTGATAAGAAGAGAGGAAAATGTGAAGAAGCATGTGGACAAATGAAATTACTCAAAGCGATATACTCCACTGAAGGTACACATTTTACAGTTTTTGCTTTACCTGGGAATCAACCCCACAACCTTGGCATTGCTAGTGCTATGCTCTACTTCTCTATATTATTCAATGTAGATGTTATAGTGAATCTTCATGAATTAAAAATAGCTGTGAGGGACACATCATTCAATGGAAAAGACTTTTTGTAAAAAAAAAAAAAAAAAAAAATCCCTCTGACAAGAATAAAAAAGATATGCTATAACAAATTAAGACAGTACCCCCAACTGAATGAACTGTACTTCTGAATTTCACAAGCCTTTTATCACTTGTATAAAATTGAGCATGGTGTCTACCCCAAATAAAGTCCATTACTGTGTTCTTCACATTGAATTTAGTGACAGCCTCTTCAGAGGCTCTCCCTGGAGGTACTTCAGCTTGTGATTTCCAGTCCGGGGCAGGAGGGTCTGAAAGCCACTGCTGTGTTTATAGTCCTGCGTTGTGGATTGGCAAACAGCAAGCCCCTGGCTGTCAGTCCATCAGCCCACTGCAGGGGCGTCTCATGCCCAGAAGCGTGTTTCAGCTCTTAATTACCTAACAGAACAGCTGGCCCACAAGTCTGCCATGTATTTGCTCACCTCAGCACGAGGACGTCTGCCTGTCGCCGTAAGGCATATCACCAGTTAAACCAGCTATAAACTGAGTGTCCATCTCCCAGCACCTCAGTAAAAAAATCCACAGCCTCCTGACAGTATCTTTAGACCAGACACATTTGGTTCTCTAATATTTTAGACTTGTATTATGTTGGATTTCTAGGTAGGTAGGAACACTATAGGTATTAAATCTTGTAAAACAGTATTGGTTTTGCTGTGTGAAAGCACACCAAAACAAGATATTTATAATTCACTGCATTGTACCAAAACACATAATTATTGAAATTGTCCATCCATCAGGTTTTAATAACCTGATGTTTTTAAGAGTTTGGGTCTATTGAGCTGCCATTAGCTGTGGACTTGCGAGTCAAATAGACTTATGAACATTGTAACCCTTTGACTGCCTACTCTAACAAATTGTTGACCATGTTTTGACTGTTTTAAATAATGACTGTTAAAGTCAATTAAAGAATGACCGTTTTAGATAATGGCTTACACAGCATTGTTCGTTATCAAAAAAACAAAAAACAATCATAATCCTGTTGAATGAAAAACAAGAAAACATGTTAAATGAGAATCTGAAATATTTTATAGCAAATAAAAACAATGATGTTTTATTTTTCAAAAATGTTTTATTTTATTTATCTTTTAAAATAAATTGTTCAGATTTTTTATAGTATATGTAATAATTCTGGTATAAACTGACATATCAACCATTTGGTAGAGGTTGATATTTTAGAAATTTTTTAATTTTTAGAAAAAAAAAATGCATTGAGTGTGTTAACTAGCGACATTAGAAATGCAATCTAAACATTTTTTTCTTGGTGGGGTAGTTAAAGGGATAATTATTTGTAACCAGATTTTTAACACAGTCCTCAGAATGCGCTGGTCCTAATGGTAGGTTTACAATATTGTGATGTATTAAAATTCTTAAAAGAATCTTTGTAACGAACGCCAGGCCAATGCCAGATGTTAATGTCACTTATTACAGATATAGTACATGCCTGTGCTTATTTAGTCCTGTAGTCTGACATTGTTATCTTTGCTGTCAAGAGCTCTCTCATGCCTATAGATCAAACACAATAATACCCATCCATATACTGGACTTCCAATAGACCCTTTTCACAATTCTGGGTTTCTATGACATGGAAGGCGTCATAGTTTGGTAAACTTAGATCGCAGTGAATGGGAGAATACAATAAATAATGTTTTGCAATCATATTTGCTGAAATAATAAAAGAAAAATTCCATGATGGTGTTATCAAGACTTTCAGAAAAAGAAAAAAAAAATGATGATGGCAGTCAGAGGAGAGAATAACGTCAGATTTACACCAAGCCCCATTGACGCTGCATTAGAAACACCTCGCACAAGGGGTAATTTGTTTTTCTAATTTGATGCAAAGACGATAAAATACAGTCATAACGCATATAAATGTTCATTCATTCTCTTTTCAGCTTAGTCTCTTTATTAATCAGGGGTCGCCACAGCGGAATGAACTACCAACTTATCCAGAATATGTTTTAAGCAGCAGATGCCCTTCCAGCTGCAACCCATTACTGGAAACACTCTCATTCACACATATACACACTACAGATAATTTTAGCTTACCCAATTTACCTATTGACCTTATTCTAAAATGCGGAAGTGCGCCTGTTTTCGCGATTGTCTTAGAACTTCCGTTTCAGTCGCCTATGGGAGAAATGACAAGGAATAATAAACGGCAAAAAACGGTCTAACTACTTGCTCTACAAACAAATTTTTGCATGACTATACAGACCAAGTAAAATAATATAACAAGGAAATATCAGTTTGCAACATCAAACAGCGAAACGAGCAGTTTTTAATGTCTAAAAATGAATGTAAGTGAATGAGACCGGAAGTCTCGTGCCAAAAAGATTCAAATTGCAGCGCCCGCTCGTCTGCGGAGAATAAGGTCAATACTGCATGTTTTTGGACTCGTAGCGAAAACTGGACCACCCAGAGGAAACCCACGCAAACACAGGGAGAACATGTAAACTCCACACACAAATGCCAACCAACGCATCCGAGGCTCAAACCAGCGACCTTCTTGGTGTGAGGTGACATCGCTACCCACTGGGCCACCACGCCGCTCCCATATAAATATTCATAGTTTACAAAACAAAATATTAAAAACTTTCAAAAAAATTAAAAACTTTAAAAATTTAAGATAATGATGACCGTTAAACACGTCATAACATTCTAGTGTAAAGGGTCAACTGAAACAGTATATTGACTAGGGGTGGGGCTTTCTTTTGTGCATTATTCCATTGAAGCAAACTAATGATAAGAGGGGTGTGATTAAGGCCCCGTAATATGTTTTAGTTTTGCTACGGTTGCGCTTTCCGTCCACACTACCCCAGAGTTTTCCAGCATTTTGAAAATGCTGGAGAGGCCTTTTTGGTTTTAAAATGCTGCTGCTTGTTGTCAGTGTGGATGGGGGAAAATGAAGACCTCTGAAAACGGCATTTTAAAACTAAAACGTATTAGTGTAAACGGGGCCAAATAGTCATATTTTTGGGGCTGAAGCTTTCAAACTTTGAAGATTACTATAACAAACCTTTTTTTGATAAAAAACTTGCACAGAATAATTGTTCGCTGAAAGAATAACAATGTGCACTAGCAAAACAAACATTGTAAATTTTGATTTCACATGAACTGTAGGCCTCTCAAACATTGTTGCCATGTAGGCCTAAATATTTTCTTTTTCTAGTTTAAAACGGTGTTGGGTAAAAACGAGTAAAAAAGAGTACATTTTACTTTAATGCACCTGACACAATCATAAGTTCTTTAAGCAGATCACATGGGGGACAATGCTAGATACAGGTGAAAAGGGAAAAGCCTCAAATGTTTTGAGCTTGTCCATTTTTCACCACTTCCACGTCTTTGTTGTCAAGGTAAGGTCCAAAACGCAAAAATGGTTACCATTTACATGAAAACAAAGTGTAAATTTAGCCTAAATGAGAAATTGTTTAATTAATCAATTAAACAATTTTGTAACACGGGTCAAAACTGGCCTATCAAATAATATTGTTAATAAGCTTTAATCTGATTAGCTTTAAGTGCTTATAATGCACTAGATGAAGTTGCACCAGAATAATGGTCCACCACATTAATGACAAATATGAAAGAATCCTCCTCATGATTCAGCGATCAGTCTTCAGGGTGACATTTTCACAGTTATAAAGCCCCACACACCCCACATCTCTATCCTGGTGAGTAAACAGAGGAATTTCAACTACCTGACATTTCAGTATTGGTCTAATGTGACCGCAGGAATTCCTCTGAGTGTTCAAACTCTACAGAGATCTTTTTTTTCAAGTTCCTCTCACCCCAGAAGCCTGTTCTCTGACCATTCTGAATGCCATGGTGCCTCGTGTCAGTATGTGTGACACTGTATGAATCTGTCTGCCGCCACTGTGGATATAAAGATAAACAGCACCGCCTTCGCATCGACTCGCTCACTGAAAGAACTCATTATTTAGTTTCCTCAACTGTTAAAAAAAGACATCTGGAACACAACATCAGCAAGAGTAAACAAAACAGGGTGAAAGTGGCACACTAGCGGGAATAGGTGTGTTTATTGTTTCAAGTGGCTTTGCACTGGTTACATCAGAAGAATTTTAAGCAGCTAATAGTAAAGCCCCTTAAGACCCTTCTTTCTTTCTCTCTAGGTTTCCAAAGGCAACTGCTCTCCATCAAAGGTGTGTGTTATTGCTGAAGGTGCGCGGCGTGTGCATGTTTGTGTCACACCGATGAAGCCCAAACTGGCTGCAGAAAGAGAA